CCCGGAAACAAAGGCTGGGCGCGGGAGAGGGGCGCGGGCCTGCGGGCGCCGAGGCCGTGCATGACTCAGTGGTTTTCGCGGAGGCCGGGCCGGGCGTGCGGAGCGAGGCCTCCGCGCGGAGGGGGGGATCGCGGCCGGAGCGGGCGGCGCGGAGCCGGGCTGCCTTTCAGTTCTTCCCACGTCGCTGCTCCAGCCCCCGGGATCCTCTGCGAGGAGGAAGCGCAGCGCTCTGCCTTTGTTCCGCGTGTTCAGGCTGTGGACGCGAGTGGGCTGCGCTCGCTTTGCACGCGTTCCGTCGAGCTCGTCTTGGTGAAAGCTTTGGCTTAGCTTGTGGGCACCCCGCGGACTGTTGCTTGAAGTATGTGGTAAAGTAATGGAGGTCACAGGGCTCTTCCTAAATCGGAGGTTTGCTTTTAATTTTCAGGCTTATAAAGTGTAAGTAAATTCTGTGATTTAAGGACTTAGAGTCTTCATTAGTGGAAAATACTGCAAATTTTTTCGAGTTTTTTTCTTAATGTCCAAAGTTATCAAGTATTTGCTGTAGTTCTCTAAATGTGTAGATTATCAGGCCCGATATTAAACCTGTAAAGTAGCTGTAAAATCTCCATTTGGAAGAAGTAACTGAGATCAGAAGAGTAAGGACTTGGCCAAGGTCACTGGCTTAATTAGTGGCAGATTAAGACTTAGAGCCCGTGTCTCAACTCCCATGTGAAATGTGGACATTCTTGACATCTTAAAACGTTACGGGCACCTGAAACAACTATATTCCATAGGTGTAAAAGCTTTTTATTTGTTAATATCTTGTGTTGGAGAGGTGTTTTTAGTTACACACCCAGATTTTTAGTTGGATAAGGCCACAAAACTAACTTCAAAAAACACCTTTGAGCTATGTGTAATACAACTGATCCATGAATGCTCAAGTTTCCAACAAGTTTAAAGGTAGTAAATAGCTATTTTCTTAAAGAATAAAAGGAAAATGCAGTATGTAAGGGTGAACGCTTCCTCTCCCTACATAGTTAATGGCACGTAAATAGAAGTAATCTTTATGCTTTCTGCTTTTTGCTGTTTAATTTTTTATAAACAACCTTGACGATATTTTTAGCTTCACAAGCGATTCTGGTGCTTAGGTTTTATAGATTGGTTTTGAGATTGCTCTCTAATCCTGCATCAGGAAAAACTGGCATCCTTGATGCATTTTTTTGTTTTGTTTTCTTACAATGTTAGATACAGAAATTGCTGTATCTTTAGTTCTTGGGGTTGTGTAGGAGTTGGCAGGCTCCGAGATATAAATAGAAGCTGATTTCAGAGGCCCCTGTTGACTAGGCTTTATGTGAGAGCCTCCATCCAGCTCAGCCTGTCACATTGCAGCCTTGTGACAGGCTGAAGCGCCCTCCCATGTGATCTAAGCTTCTGAAAAATATTAAGGCAATCTGTGCACATGTGATGGCATTTAAAAGGTGTAGGGGGGTGTCTGAAAGATAGGGGGCCAAGTAGAAGATCTAATGGCCTGGTGTGTGTGCTTCAATTTAAGACATTTATGTTGAATTGACGGTAATTCGTCGTTAAAATGGATGAAATCATTAGATGGGGCCTCCCTTAATTTGTTTCCATGAAAATATTCTATTTTGTTTAACTGAATTATTTTACGTGTACTGATCAAGTTGGTCTTAAATTTAAGAGAATGCTTTCAAAGTCAAATGGCCCTGAAAGTAAAGCAAGTGAGCTACCTTAACTCCTAAACTGGCTTTAAGGAGTGTCACAATTTTTGTATAGGACAGATTAACATGTGTGTGGTGGGAATAATAACTTATTACTTGACTTTTTGCTTCTGTCATACTCAACATTTAAAAATCTCAACTAAAAGTGTTTATTAAACTTCGTAAGTGATGTTGAAATGTTTACCCTGTTCCAAATGAGTCAGCTAAATTCCACTTACTAGTTAAAGAGACAGTGTCAACTAAATAGTACTATTGTTCAAAGTTTCTGGTTTTGATCACGCTACTTACTAGCTTGATTTGCTTGAAATGCCGCGCTATTTGATTTACAAAAGATTGTGATTATTTAAGTGTTGAGGGGGTTGTCAGTATTCTGGCCAAGTCAAATAGCTTACTTTCCTTCCTTTGTTTTTATAATTTTAGTGGAGTTAAAACTTGACAAAACACGGTTTTAACTCAGAGTGTATTGTAATATGCGGTAGTTGAAAAAGTGAGTGGCCACAAGTTATATAGGACAGATTTCCCTTTAATTAAATCCTCTCAAATACTACTTTTTACATAATTTTCTGGTTTTCCTTGTTGTGTATGTTCTCTTAGCCTGAAAAAAAAAAACGTACTAAGCACAACATTACTATATTTGTGCTAATTTTTAGCCGTGCTTCTAGAAAAGCAAAGTATGTACTTTATACCCTTACATTAAATATTAACCATTACTAAAAGTTGTGTGTTCATACTGCTTTACTGTATTAAATTTAGCGTTTTTATGAGGTGAACAGTACTTGAAGTGTTTGGCTGAGAAGTCTATGGTTAATTTGTGCTTTGTAGGTGTGTAGGCATTGGCCTTATAAACAAACAGAGATGCCTGTGCATCAGCAGAATTGTGAAATTACTCATGGGGTGCAGGTCGTCGAAGTACAGCCTTAAGAAAGCTTTCACACTAAATGCAATCAATATCCAGCCAGTGTAAAGAACAACTAATAAATATCAAGAGGTGGTGATTGATGACTGTGTATGCCCCTTTGTTTGGAAATTCCATTTAATAATGTTTTTAGCCAATGAAGTAAAAGTGTCATTTCACTTGATACACCGGTAGTGAGGAGCTCAGAAAGTAATAATTCATTTCCCAAATTGTTTAAAATAAACCTGATACTGGTAGATTAGCCCTTTTGGAAATTGAAATCAGGATTAATAAATGCTTTCTTTTTGCCCTAATAATTCGTGTTTGTTTTACAAAGGCAGCAAAAATACTCATAATTATCTGTGGTTTTGTTAGTGTTTAGAAAAACAGGGACCGTTGTTGACTGGATCATGCTCCTCTTATTTTAGTAGCATGCTAATTTCTACAATTTTATTTTATTTTGTTTTTGTTTATAGCAAACAAGGATGGCTCAGGAGACTAACCAGACCCCAGGGCCCATGCTGTGTAGTACAGGATGTGGCTTTTATGGGAACCCTAGGACAAATGGAATGTGTTCTGTTTGCTACAAAGAACATCTTCAGAGACAGCAGAATAGTGGCAGAATGAGCCCAATGGGTAAGTTGTATCCAGGAAAAAACCTCCTTGAAGATTTGGTGAGCAAACATGCAGAACCAAGAATTGGTGCCTGAGACTGAGAACGCTGAAAGGCAAGGCAAGAAGACGTAAGAAGAGCTTTAAATTAAAGCAGCAGCCCAGTACTTGACGTGACCACCTCAGGAATAACAGGCATCTTCTAGATTTTTCTGCTTTCCTTTTGGAGGTTTTGTATCATACTTGTGTTCACAGGGTATAACTTTGTTTTGTGTGGGGATAATCAAGTAAATGCAGCATTGCAGCACAGTGAACATACTTAAATCACTAACCTAAGTAAATGTAGGTATTGTTAACTTCATTAAGTCAAAACTGAGTGTAGTGTTTGTTTCTTACAAATCCTTTTTTTAAATAGGGACAGCTAGTGGTTCCAACAGTCCTACCTCAGATTCTGCATCTGTACAGAGAGCAGACACTAGCTTAAACAACTGTGAAGGTGCTGCTGGCAGCACATCTGAAAAATCAAGGTAAGACAGATAATTTTAGTTCTCTGATAATTGTGGAGAGGAAACAAAGATGCCTGCCGCTCATAATGATGAAGTTGCCCTTGGCTTTGCATGTATTGCACAATTAAGGATTTCGGTATCCTTTAGTATCTAATTTTTATGTCACTGAATGTATGTCACAAAGTACTCTATAACCCCTTTAAGGGTTCTGTTGAAAGTGCTGTTTTTATTTTCTTGTAATTGAAGTTTAGGCATTGTAGAGAGTGAGATTCTACAGACTGTTATAGTGCCACACGAGGTGTTTTGTTTGGCACAGCTGCTTCTTTTGTCCTTAAATTATAGGCACAGCTAAAACTCTTAGATATAATAAAATATGGTAATGTATAAAAATTGCAGCCTTGAGTTGATGAGCCATTGGTCAAATTGCTTTCCTCATTCTCAACTGTTTATGCTGGACAGCCAATCTTTTTTAAAATTTTTGGTTATCTAGTTCATTTGATTGTGTTGGAAATAAAGTTATGAAGTTGAACTGAGAACTTAACTGTATTAAAAAGAGGTTCCTTTAACATCGTTAAAAATAATTGTTTGCTTGAACTCACATAGAAATGTGCCTGTGGCTGCCTTGCCTGTAACTCAGCAAATGACAGAAATGAGCATTTCAAGAGAGGACAAAATAACAACCCCGAAAACAGAGGTGTCAGAGCCAGGTATGCATTTTGTTTAATACTAGTTCAGTTCTGTATTTGGTAGTATAAGAAAGTTGGTGGTAGGGTTCCCTTCCCATTGACCAAAGAGGAGGGAGAGCTATAGAAAAGCCAAGCAAAAAACTATTAACCTTTAAAGTATCTTGGTGTATAAAATAGTTTTGCTTTTTTATTCTTTTCTCTGCTCAGCTCCTCCATTTTACCCTCACGTACAAATCAACAGCTTGTCAAAGTACAGGATCCCTGTCATTTTGTAAGAATTTAAAACTTCTGGAGGGCCTTTTGGTTTCTAATGATGACTTTGAAGCTGCTTACAGCACAACCAAAAGTGCACAATAGTGACTTCTTAGAATTAGCTATGTGCAGTTTATTCAAATCAGTTCATTCCTCCTTAGAACAATAACAATGCAGTATTAAAATTGGGACAAAATAATAATTATAGGTCTGATTTGGAGGCTTGCTTTTGGTAACAATGTAGCTAACTCTGTGATGTGTAGTCTCAAAGTTAGGTCACATCTTTTGGCCATGAAATGGCAGGTGAATCTGTATTTGAGATTTTAAAAGAATTCCATTCATGTGAAGAAACCTGATCTTGTCATTGTTATGTAGTTTGTAGGTTTTCTTATATAAAATTACCTCTGAAGCATAGTTTTGGGTTAGATGTGTGATTAGTATCTACACTTGCTACTGTATGCATAGTAGTTCTGTATGCATTTTCTGTATCATCCCCTACCACAGGCAATCTTCTTTGTCTTGCTGTTTTTTTAGATGTGGGTAAGAAGATGGATGACTCCACCACTCACTACCTACTTCCCCACATTCTCAACTGTGTTCGTTCATACTAACAGAAAAAATTGTATCAAAGGCATCATTAATAGCTTATTAGGGGAAAAGGTAGAATACTGTTCTTACAAGTCTAATATTAGGCTGTGATCTCAGTGGGTACATTGCTAATGCAAATTCATGATAAAGCTTGCTCTAGAAGTTTGGATATGCAAATAGCATTGGTGCGCTAGCATATTGTTTAGGTACTGATTTTAGCATTATATAAATTTACTATTCTTATGGTTTGGAGTAATACTAAAACTTAGAATTTACAGTGTTTCAGGTACATGGTTAGAAGTATATTAGAAGAGGGGCTGGGGATTTAGCTCAGCAGCAAAGCACCTGCCTGGCAAGCGCAAGGTCGTGAGTTCGGTTCCCGGTACCAGAGAAAAACCAAAAAAAACAAACAAACAAGAAGTATATTAGAAGTAAACTTTGTTTTGGGCATAATGGATTCAATACAATGGTCTGCAATTTGTTGTTTCTTATACAAATTATTGAGGTTAGATGTGAGCTAAAACTAACAGCCCTTGTAGGTGGAGAGGAGGATGGGACTCTGGTAGCTTTTCTCTTGGTATTCAAAGTAAGTAAAAAATATAGTTGTGCTTTTAAAAATCCTGTTCTGTATGTGGAATCCTTAATCTTAACAAATCAGAACTTCACAAGTACTCCCAGACTGCTTATCTTTTTTTGAAACAGGGTCTTACAGGGTGGTGTTACTCCTGCCTGACCTTAAGAACAATTTTTTTTAATTCTCATATTTTTCCACATGTGACAGTGTTGTACACCTGTGAAAATAGCAAAGTCATTACATTGAAGTTTTTGGATCTAAAGTTGATTTAAGGATTAGTGGCTTGGGTTTTGTCAAAATTTGCTGATTTCATTCAAGATTTTGTCTTTGTTTTTTATTGATTGTAAAACCAAAATGACTTGCATAGCCAGGACCTTCAAGGTTGGCAGCTTTTATTTATTGAAAAGTAATGAATTTGAACTGTGTTGAGAAGTTTATTTAGGAAGTTGCAAAATGGAAAAAAACCAACTAAGCATACAATTAGTATCTATGAGGTCTTTAAAATATGGAATTAGTATGTTTTTTCCTAATATTGGGCTGGTTAAGTCTGAGTTTAAAGGAATTGAAGTGTTCATTTTATAAAATTTAGAGGAATAAGTAGGGGGTTGGCAAGAAGTTCTTACACTTTAAACAAGTTCTGATTATTAAAGTCGAAGATTGTTCTTAAAAGTTCCTATTTGTAAAGCTTCATTTTTTTGAGACAGTCTCATTATGGCTGGCCTGTTCACTGTAGTCCACACAGGCCTCAAAGGTGCAGTGATCCTGGCTCACCCTCCCAAGTGCTGGGATTACAGGTGTGCACCCCCCACACCCAGCCTTGTAAAGCTTCTTAGACTCTGGAAAGTTTGGATATGCTAATAGTGTTGGTGATCTGTGAATCTAATGTTTCTTAGGTGTTTTTTTTTTTACTTAGCTCATTGTCAGCCTGTGATCTTAGCAAGTTTCTAAGTTTTTCCCCTTACTTTTCAGTTGTTACTCAGCCCAGTCCATCAGTTTCTCAGCCCAGTACTTCTCAAAGTGAAGAAAAAGCTCCTGAGTTGCCCAAACCAAAGAAGAACAGATGTTTCATGTGTAGAAAGAAAGTTGGCCTCACAGGTATTAAGAATGCATAAGACAATGTATATTTTTTATACGTGCACTTAATAAAGAACTCTTGATCTCTATAAAGGACTGGGCAGTCTTACATATTTTTTAAGGACCTATGAGGGATAAAAAGTTCATAGAGGGAGCTAGAGAGGGGATGAGAGTGAAATGGGGTGAGAGAGATTGTGTTTTACTTTGTCTTCTGATCTCATGGTTATTATTTACCTTAAGCATAACAGTAAGCTTTTACTTTGTGCTACACATGAACTATTCCATATATTTTCTACTTTAAGCCTCAGAATTTTGTAGTTGACTTTTATCTAGCTTTCCCTTGAGAGGAAATACTACCCAGTTGCCAAATGGTGTGGCACAGCTCTATTTTGAATTGAAATTCTGCTTGACTCTAGAATGTGTATAAATTCTACCTTAGGTATTGTCAATGGGAGTTGATGGAAGGAAAACCTTCCTGGTAGAATTAGCTGATAAGTGTTCCATCTAATTTTTTGGATGTAGTTTGGCCTACCAAGAACTTTTATACCTTTACCCTTGGAGGGGTAAGACTAAGCATAGTTACTTGAATTTCTTACCATTGCCTCACAATTTAAAGTAATAGACTTTATTTTAAGAATTGATAGTCTTTCATGTTGTAAAGCAATGAAAATACAGTCAGTAAGGCTCATTTAATTGCCACAAGTTCCCAAGTGACATGGCTTCCTCTTGTTTGTACAGGATTTGACTGCCGATGTGGAAATTTGTTTTGTGGACTTCACCGTTACTCTGACAAGCACAACTGTCCATACGATTACAAAGCAGAAGCAGCAGCAAAAATCAGAAAAGAAAACCCAGTTGTTGTGGCTGAAAAAATTCAGAGAATATAAATTAGTACTTGTGAAGAGACTGAAACTTTGTTTTTATTTTAATATATCGTAGGAAAACATTAAAGAGCAGATGCATGGCCATTTTCCTTTGATGTTCTCCAGAGTTTTACTTTACACTTGTCTGTCTTATAACTGATATTTTAGGATGTTTGGGTGTTTGTTACAGGCAGAATTGGATAGATACAGCCCTACAAAATGTATATGCCCTCCCCTGAATAAAATTGAATGAAAATTGCACAGCAAATTGAAATAACAGTTAACAGGGAAAAACAATTTTAGTTCCCATGTGCCAAACAAAATAAATCTCTGCATGTTTGCAGCATATCTGCCTTTTGGGAATGTAATCAAGATATAATCTTGGCTAGTGTATGTGCCTGTATTTTTTTTTTTAAATGGTACACCAGAAAAAGACTGGCAGTCTACTTCTACCATAGTTAAACTTTTCACCCTTTTAATTTCCACATGTTCTTTGGAAACAGGATGAAAGCTATAAAAAGGATCACACCTTCCTTTCTGTGAAACCAGTGTTTGGTGCCATATGTAAGCCTGGTTAAGTTGGTCATCTAGAAGCTGTCAAATAAGATGTTCTATGAAAGGTATTCATTACAATTGGTTGTAAGGAAAACCAACAAGCCAACAACAGGGTCTTCAGATAATCTTATGCTGGCCTGCACCAGAAGATGTCTACATTATTCTCATTACTAAAAATGTATAGCACAGAACTGCACTAGGATTAATCACTTTACAAGAAATTAAAACTACGTTTGGTTTTCATATACAGCAGCTCTATTGAATAACATGCATCTGAATTTTTAAGTTGCAGAGGTATCTGAACAGTTAATTTTTCATGTGCATCTTTTGTTGAATGTTTTGGTTCAAGAAAGAATGTTTAAAGCTTTTTAAAAATTTCAGTTCTTAATGTAATTGTACCCTTCTGCATGGAAAATCATAACCAACATGGCTGCAGTAGACTTCTTAGTGGTATCCAGCACCACTTGCAGAGGGCTGCTTTATCATATTAATTGTACTTGGGTGTAGGACTCTAGTGTTCTTGGGTGTATTGCATGGGCTGCATTATCTACAGCATTGTACAATAACAACTAGAAAAGGCAGTATACTTCACTGATGCTTGTCTGGTAATATCACTTCTGTGTTATAATGGAAGGTTTCTTGTGATGTATGAAACTTGTGTTTTTTATATATAAATGAGTATAGTTAGGTTAGTGTTGTGGTAATGCCTGTTTTCATCTGTAAATAGTTAAGTATGTACACGAGGCACTACTTCTGATTTATTGCAGTGTTTGGTCCTAGTTTTTACTTTTATTAAAGCATTCAGTTTTGCTTTCAATTTTATGTACCTTAGTTCCAAGTTAGATCTGCAGATGTGTACAGATAGTTCATATTTATGTATTGCACATAATCATGCTATTCAGCATTGATGCTATATTGTATTATGTAAATAATAAAAGCCATGTACAGAGGGAAACTTCCATTTGTTCATTGGGGTTTTAAGCCGTAGGTAGAATTGTACAGGGAAAAAACAAAATGTTTCATATTCAACTTTATAGTTGTATATGTAGACTTTGCATGGCTGTAGTGTAAATTTTATTGTCCACTGGAGTCCTTGAACTCTTGTCAAGTGAACACCATGAGTTGGAATATTTTCAAGTGTGGTACATAAAAGGTCAATTATTTTTGAACTGAACAGGCATCGTTAGGATCAAACTGTCAAAACTTGAGAAAGAGATAAAATTTAAACATTATACTTTCTTCCATATTATGCTTTAATCTGTTACTTTAATGATTAAAAACCCTGAAGTGGAAAGTAAGCATGACTTTGTTTACAAAAAGTTATTTTTAGGCTTTGGTTTTATGTAGAGGTGGGCCCCTGGACTCTGCCTGTGTGGGTGTCTTATGCCAGCTAATAAAAAGATTTAACATGCTGAATTTGCCCCACAGGGCAGCTGAAGCCAAGAGCAGAACTACTGTTTCTCAGTGGTCATGGAGGGGCAGTACTTCACCTGGTTCACTTGTGTCTGTCAGTTAAATTTTATGTGCTGCTGCTTTTGCTTCCTGTGCAGATGTTTGGGGTTGAAGTTTATGTGCTGAAATGGTATCCTCAGTATCAAGGGTAATTAATCACAATGGCATTGGGAATCATAGTATTTTGAAAGGGAACTTAAATTTTCCAATTTTAAAATGAGACCCGTTAGTGCTACCTCTGTCAATGAAAATCTGGTCAATTTAAATCTAGCTAAAAAGTTCTGATGTCAGTGCTTCAATCTTTAAATGAGAAGATAACCCTAAAAGCCTTGCGTTTACACAGGGGCTTTGACTAGTAGCAACAGAAGGTAGTAAATGTTTCCATACTCATGAGATTTGATTAGCAGAAAACATGATGTGAGAGAGATGACAGGAGGGGGAAAGAGTGGTGTGAGTTCCCTGAGCAGACTTTCACACCTGCATGTTTCCTCCCTTCTGACCGAAAGCTTCAACTTTGTAATGTATGCTGAGGTCTTAAGCATTGTGGCACTGTACTGTGTTTTCTCATAAACAAGTCTTGGCACCACTGCCACCCAAAAAGTTGACTGGCCACAGTTACATGAATTAGGCTAATCCTTTTTCAAGTCTAATCTTAGCCTACTCTAAAACTAGAGTTTTAGGTTTGACATAGGGTAGTGTTTCCATAGAATGGATGTTTGCAAAAGGTGTTTAACAGTGTAATGGTTGGGCTCATAAACGTTGAATCAGGATAATATCATAGGCAAGTTATTTTGGGTTGGCATTGGGCTGCTTGTTCAATGAAAACACGAACTGTTCAGGAGTATGAACACAGCACTTAAAACTGTCTGGTATGTAATAGTACATGCTGTGTTGCTTTGTTTTTTCAGACAGGGTCTCTAGTTGAGGCTGCTCTTGACCATACTGTGACCCAAGTTAGCCTTGAATTTGTGGTGATCCTCCTGCCTCAGCTTCCTGAGTGCTAGGATTACAGGTGTGTGCCACCTCCCCCAGCTCTTGCTAATTTTAATGTCCTAAAATAAGAATTTCTAGAACTAGGAAAGAAGGCAATTTAATGAGATTGGTTACTTCAAGTTCTATGGTGAAAAGGTTCAAATTTGTAACTTCTAAGTCTTAAGTGATTGGAGTCCTTATCACTAGTCTTACTTTGCAGATGTTTGCATTAAATGAAGTTTCTGGCAAGTAATTAAAATTGGGCAAATACCTGCTTAGTAATAATATAGCAAGATAGTAAGCATATTGCTGTTGTAGTTTTAGTGATACAGTCTCATGCTTCCAAGATGAGTTTAATACACATTAAGCACAGCTGCCTCATCTTAATATCTACTATTGTAAAGACATGTTTTAGGTAAATGGTATAGGTTAGAAAGGCTTTGTGGTCTCTTCCACTTTGTGTAAATGTTTGAATTTGTATAAAACCTTAATTTGGTATTGGTTTGGTCTTTATTTGAATATACAAAATTCTTACTGTTTTTGCCCTTAGTGTTTATAGTTTTGGGGAGAGTGATAGATGTGGTTAACTGACTTGATCAGCAAAATAATTATGTACTCTTAAGTGGTCTAAAATAATACATATCCACTAGGCAGCAGGCTTTTAAGAAACTCGAAAATTCACAAAGCCATTTCACATGTTTGTATAGTCTACTTTAAAAAGAACGTGTGCCACCATATAGAAAAGCATCTTCTAATACAGCTGTTTTTACACATACTGATTTTCAGTTTATGTAAAAGCAAAGAGCACTGTGTTTTCTCCCAGAGTGTTTTATTCTAGTGCCACATGAAAGTTAAATAATCATTTTGTGCTATGATTGTAAGTTCTGCTCACACTGCTAAGTTCTGTTCCCTTTTAGCATGGGTGCCAGCTTTGCTAAGTCGTACTGCGCATGGCATACAGTACACTGAAGGAAATTACAGTAGTCGAATAGTAATATTTTTCCTGATGATTTTGTTACCACAGAACCTCAGGTTACATATCTGAAATGGTTGGTAATATAACAAAACCTGTTCAGGAATGAAGTAATTAGCTCAGAAGTTGATAGGAAATCTAACATTCTCAAATTTCAGTTGTGTGCAAGAATTGTTAACAAAATAAGTAGCATTTAAGAACTATTTGCATGAACCAGAGGAGAAAAAAAATGTAGCCTTCATGAGCTCAACTTAAAAATAGTGACTCAGTAAATTTTTGAGACACTTTGTGTATATATATCCATGGCACATTTTTAAAAGTTAGCTTGTCCTGGCCAGGTAACTAGGTCTTGTCCTATTCCGACTTCACTAAGAATATGTTCAGACATGCAAATTGCCATACCACATAAATAATGATGTAGGCATTGGTGTTCTTTTTTAGGCAGGGTCTCGCTATGTAGTTCAGGCTGGCCTCAAACTGCAATCCTGCCTCAGCCTCCCAAGTCCTGGGATTATAGGTATGTGCCACCACACCCATCTATGATTTTGGTTTTCCATTGTATGGTAGTATACTCACTCTTATATATACCCCAAGCTTTTTTTTTATATCCAACTTTAGAGAAACACTTTACTGGTAATGTTTCCTGAGTAGCCCCTCCCTTGGAGCTATCTTGCAGTGAAAGTCTTAAATAGCTAAAATACTAAAAATATTTGTTTTCTTATTAGTGTATATAGTACATAATGATTACATTCATTGAGGAATTGGTACATGTATATAACATCTCTTCCCCCTTTCCCTCAAACCCCCCCATTGTGCAAGCATCAGATTCATCTTGTTACATCCTTAAAAAGTGAATTATACATACAGATTTAGAACCAGAGTAATAGGCCTAAAAAACATGTAAGACAAAGACTTTTTTGGGGTTTTTTGTACTGGAATTGAACTCAGGACCTTGCATTTCCCGGGCAGGTGCTTGTGCCACTGAGCTATATCCCACTCTCTTTTTCTATTATAAAAATCGCCCCACAGTAACCTGTAATAGTTAAGTAAGAATGGGTAATCTGCCACCTCATCCGGTAGCCATTATCTGAATTTAAACATTGCTAAAATGAACTCTTTAAAGAAACTTCAGTTTTAGCTAGATTTAGATTATTTGGTTGGCTTATCAGATTGTTTTGCCTATCTGGGGCAGCATAACCAGTTTTATCACTAACTAGATTACGTCACAAGGCAGAGCTACTGAAATGAGACTTCAGAGGATTTAATACTTTATTTTTTACTGGTACATGTTTGCAATACATAATTTATTTTTCTTGGAGAGTTAGTACTTCAACATAACACACCTTGATTTTCTTTTCATCTTTCTCTTTACCCCTTTCAGAGGTTTACTAGATAAAGCAATGCTTGTGCAAAGTAAATTCAGCCCACAGACATAAAAATATAATGCATTCATATTCAGACATGGCTTTTTAGCATTCAGGTGATAGGAATGTTTATAATCTTTAAAAGAAAGTAATGGATTTAAAATGGGTTAAAGAGCTAGGTGTGGTGCACACCTGTGATCCCACTGCTCAGAAGGCTGAGTCAGGAGGATCACCCCAAGTTTGAGACTGTGGGCTATATAGGGAGATCCTGTATCCGAAAGGGGAGAAGGGATTAAAGTTACTTGAAATTTGCAACCCATAGTAATTAGCAAATATCCCACTTGCAATGGTGTCTGCCATAAAACAGATGTAACTACTTAAAATTTATTACTAAGGATTACACCAATAAAAAAATTATAAAAACTAGCTGAGTAAACCAGGTATAATGTCAAAAGAGAGGTTAATAAAGTGAATTTACTTTTGATTCCTGGGATCTGTCTGCTAGGGTAACTAATTCTAAACTCATGTTTTTGTTAAAAGCTTTTTTAAAATAGATTTTTCTATGATTTTAATAATCTGAATCCAAAACTTAATTTTAAGGATATGATTTTTTTCTTACAATTCTTAAACACAATTTTATATAACATCTACCAAGAACAATTTAGAAAAAATTTAGGTTTAATAAAGTTTATATTATTTAAAAATCTGGGCATGGTGGCACACGCATTGTAATCCTAGCATTCAGGAGACCTAGGCAGGAGGATCACCTGGAGTTCAAGGCCATCCTTAACTACATAGTGAGACCCTGTCTCAAAAGCCAAAAATAAAATGTGTTTAAGCAACACCTAGAAAGAGTGTGAATTTTCACCTAGGAGTCATTGAGAACATATAAAAGGTACAACACTACTGCAATTGAGTTACTTCATTTGTACCTTTTAATAATAAATTTGAGGAGTTGGTAATGTGTGGCTGTTCCAGTTTGGCTTTGAGATGATACAGATATGTATGCACGGCTTTTATAAAACCACCACAAAACAGTCACCCTAAGGACATAAGCAGAGCGTTTAGAAAGTCCCCCCACTTTCTCCAGGCTGGAAGTGTCATAAATGCTCTGTAGGTAATTTCAAACTTTATAGTAAAGTTAGTTGTATGCAGCACACATTTGTGGAGAATGAGAATCAGCAGCTGCATCGT